CTCCCATTTGAGCCAGTAATCCCACTTCTAGGAATATATCCCAAGAAATCAGAAACACCAATCAGAAAGGATATATGCACCCCTATGTTCTCTGCAGCATAATTACAATAGCTAAGATTTGGAAACAGCCTAAATGCTCACCAGCAGGTGAGTGGATTAGAAAACGGTGGTACATCTTCACAATGGAATACTACGCTGCTGTAAAAAAGAAGGAATGCGTACCATTTGCAATAGCATGGATGCACTGGAGAGCATTATGCTAAGTGAAATAAGCCAGTTGGAGAAAGATAAATATCACATGATCTTACTCATATGTGGAATATAATGAACAACATAAACTGATGAGCCAAAATAGAGCCAAAGGAAAAAAACATTTTAGAATATAATAGGAGTAATCTTGTTATTTGCAGATTTTTAATCTTTCCTACAACTTTTGTGATATTATACTATGTTAGTACAGTTTTGGTAATATTATTACATTTAAAATCCTGTTTTCCTTGAAATATTAATTTTTATTGCATATAATATGACATTTAGAATAGTTTTTCTTGAAATATCAATGTTTATTGCATATAACATTCATTTAAAAAAACTATTTTTGCCCTAACTGGTTTGGCTCTGTGGATAGAGCGTCGGGCTGTGGAATAAAAGGTCCTGAGTTCGATTCCAATCAAGGGCATGTACCTTGGTTGCGGGCTCAATGCCCGATAGGGGTTGTGCAAGAGGCAGCTGATCGATGTTTCTCTCTCATTGATGTTTCTAACTCTCTATCACTCTTCCTTCCTGTCAAAACCAATAAAATATATTTTTAAAAATAAATAAATAAACTATTTTCATTTACCCAATGTAGTCCTGTTCAGTATAATTTTATACCCTTTAAGAGCAGATTTTCTTCAGAAAAATAATATAAGAGAATTTAAATTTGAAGAATGAAATTGGTGGTCAAATTTGTAAAGCTCTTTGAAATGAAAACTAAAAAGATGAGAATTTAAAAAAAAGAAAGAAAGTAAGCCCAAGTGTCAACCTATGAACCAGGAGGTCACAGTTCAATTCTGGGTCAGGGCAAATGCCAGTAGTGGGTTCAATCCCCAGTAGGGGGCATACAGCAGGCAGCTAATCAATAATTCTCTCTCATCCTCAATGTTTCTAACTCTCTATTCCTCTCCCCTCCTCTCTCTAAAATCAATTGTAAAGAACTCACTATAAACTTCTAAAATTAATTTAAAAAATTCAGAGCCCTAGCTGGGTGGCTCAGTTTGGGAGAGTGTGGATCTGATACACCAAGGAAGTGGGTTGGATTTTCCATCAGGGTACAAGCTGGGGGCAGCCAATGATACAGAGATGGATGGAAGAGCAGAGCAATTTCTCTCTCTCACTCTAAGAGCAATACATAAATATTAAAAAATAAATTCAGAAAAGTTACAGGATAAAACATCAACATACAAACATTAGTTCCATTTCTAGTATATGTGCTGCCGAAGCGAGCACAATTAGTTCCATTTCTGAACACTGACAATGAATTCTTTGATAAACAAATGAAGAAAGGCCCTAGTCAGTATGGTTTGGTTGGTTGAGCATCTTCCCATGAACTGAGAGGACACCAGTTCTATTCCAGGTCAGGGCATATGCCCAGATTGTAGGCAAGATTCCCAGAGGGGGGTGGGGGGGGTAGGTGCAGGAGGCAGCTCATAGTTGTATCTGAACTGGATGTTTCACTCTCTCCCTCTCCATTTCTCTCTCTCTGAAAAATGAACAAAAACATATTTTTTAAAAAACAAATGAAGAAAGTAGACAATAGCATTAAAATAAATAAAATACTGAGAAATAAATTCAACCACAAAGGTGAAAGATCTGTACATTGAACACTAGACTACAGTGATGAAAGAAATGGAAGCCGTAACCGGTTTTGCTCAGTGGATAGAGCGTTGGCGTGCGGACTGAAGGGTCCCAGGTTCGATTCTGGTCAAGGGCATGTACCTTGGTTGCGGGCACATCTCCAGTAGGGGGCGATCGATGTTTCTCTCTTATCAATGTTTCTCTCTTATCAATGTTTCTAACTCTCTATCCCTCTCCCTTCCATCTCTGTAAAAAATCAATAAAATATATTTTTTTTACAAAATAAAAAAGAAATGGGAAGAAAACACAAAAATAGTGCAAAGACATTTTTTTTTTTTTATAAATATTTTCTTATTGATTTTAGAGAGGAAGGAAGAGGGAGAAATAGAAAGATCAATGATGAAAGAGACTCACTGATCGGCCGCCTCTCACACGCCCACCCTGGGGATTGAGCTCACAACCCGGGCATGTGCCCCTGACCAGAATCCAACCCCAGACCCATCATTCTGCAGGCTGACGCTCTATCCACTGAGCCAAACCGGCCAGGGCAAAACATCCCGTGTTCTTGAATTTGAAAATGGAATATCTTTAAAATGTCCCTACTAGCCAAAGCAATCTCCAGATTAAATGCAATCTGGATGAGAATTCCAATGTCTGAAACCTCAAGAGACTTCAAATAGCAAAAGTCACCTTGAGCCGAAGCCGGTTTGGCTCAGTGGATAGGGCGTCGGCCTGCGGACTGAAGGGTCCATGGTTCGATTCCGGTCAAGGGCATGTACCTTGGTTGCGGTCATATCCCCAGTGGGAGATGTGCAGGAGGCAGCTGATCGATGTTTCTCTCTCATCGATGTTTCTGACTCTCTATCTCTCTCCCTTCCTCTCTGTAGAAAATCAATACAATATATTAATCAAATAGCAAAAGTCACCTTGAGCAACGGACCTGGTGGCATCACACTTCCTGCCTTCAATCTATCACAAAGCCACAGCCACCAACCAGTGTGTTACTGAAATACACCCAGAAACACACACCAATAGCAAAGAACATAAACACAGGAATAAACTCAGGCACGTAGGTCCAGGTAATCTTTGACTTAAACCACAAGACAGGTTAAGTAGAAAAGGATAGTTTCTTCAATGAATGGTGCGGAGAAAATGGATATTTACATGTAAAACAACAAAACTGAACACCACTGATAAAAATTAACACAGACTGCATGAAACCATTACATTCCTCTCTTAATACCTAAAAATCCTTCAAGACAACCCAGAGAAAACACTTTGGAGATGTGTTTTGGACAAGATTTTTTGGGATGTGATACCAATCTCCAGGCAGAAAAATAAAACCAGCAGTCCAGGCTACAACAAAGGAAAGAGCTACTTCTCAGCACAATAGCAATGAACACAATGAAATGAAAAGGCAATCTCCAGGAGGATGGGAGACCATACTTGCAAATCAGGTGAACTTATGGAAGATATTGTGATTTGACTCAGATCAGCTCAGTAAAGCAAATATCAGCTCTGGAAGGTCAGCCTCAGTGGATAAAGCGTCAGCCTGCAGCCCTTAGGGTTCCAGGATTGATGCAGGTCCACAGCATGTACCTTGGCTGCAGGCTCTCCCCGCCCAAACCTGGTCAGGGCGAGTGCAGGAGGCAACCGATCAACCTGTCGCTCTCCACATATATATTTCTCTGCCGTTTCCTCTCTTTATCTCTCTCTAAAACTCAATAGCAAAATATCCTCAGGTAGGCTTAAAACATAATTAATAAATAAATAAATAAATAAATAAGCAAGCTAATATTAAGGTATAGAAGGAAGGTCATGTCATGTTAACACTATAATGAAGGCTATGAAGAACACAATGATTTTACTGAAAAAACTCTAAATAAATTCCTTAAAAATACTTTATCAGGCCCTAACTGGTTTGGCTCAGTAGATAGAGCATCAGCCTGCGGACTCAAGGGTCCCAGGTTCGAGTCCGATCAGGGGTATGTACCTTGGTTGCAGGCCCCTGGTAGGGGGTGTGCAGGAGGCAGCTGATCGATGTTTCTCTCTCATCGATGTTTCTAACTCTCTATCCCTCTCCCTTCCTCTCTGTAAAAAAATCAATAAAATATATTTTAAAAAAATACTTTATCAGTAAACACTGGTAACCAACATCTGAGCCTGCCTGAAAAACAGCCACACTAGATTTCCTGAATGAAGAGTTCACCAAAACATGAAATTTGTAAATAAAATAAGAATGCAATATTTGGGAAGAACAACTAAGCAAATGCTAAAAGTCATATGCCTTAATATATAAACTGGAAAAGGAATTCAAAAGACTCATTAGCCAAAAAATATTGTTCCAATTAGGACTAGGGCTGTAGAGACAATTTTCAAAAAAATCCGTACAGCCCTGACTGGTTTGGCTCAGTGGATAGAGCGTCGGCCTGCGGACTCAAGGGTCCCAGGTTCGATTCCGGTCAAGGGCATGTACCTTGGTTGCGGGCACATAACCCAGTAGGGAGTGTGCAGGAGGCAGCTGATCGATATTTCTCTCTCCTTGATGTTTCTAGCTCTCTATCCCTCTCCCTCTCCCTTCCTCTCTGTAAAAAAATCAATAAAAATAATAATAATAATAAATAAAAATACGTACAAATGACCATCAGGAATATTAAAAAAATGCTTTAACTCACTAGTCAAGGTGGAATCCATTTGGCCCCCTGACACACTACCAACCACAATCCTTCCCTAAGAGTTTACCACAGCAGGTTTTGTGACTAAAGCAGTGGTTCTCAACCTTCTGGCCCTTTAAATACAGTTCCTCATGTTGTGACCCAACCATAAAATTATTTTCGTTGCTACTTCATAACTGTAATGTACCTACTGTTATGAATCGTAATGTAAATATCTGATATCCAGGATGGTCTTAGGCGCCCCCTGTGAAAGGGTCGTTGGACCCCCAAAGGGGTCGCGACCCACAGGTTGAGAACCGATGGACTAAAGGGTTAGAATAGAGCAGTACAAACAAACCCAGCCTGCCAACCGCAGCAACTGCCCGGAAAAGTGGAAAAATCAAGCAATGTATACAGTCCAGAGGTGAGGACAGAGCACTCCTAGAGGTGAGGGAGGGATGAGGACATGCAAAGCCAAGTCTCCAGAACCAGCCAAAATGAGGGTCTTACCCAGGGAGGATATAAGTTCAAAGTTCTCCAGCATCACATTCAGGTACAGCTGTCTCTGACCCTCATCAAGGAGGCTCCATTCCTCCCTGGAGAAGTACAGGGCAATGTCCTCAAAGGTCACGCCAACCTGTCAGAATTGAGACAAATGAAATCAGAGCTGTCTCACTGAGAACCAGTAATCCTACTCCTTACTCATCATCCCCACCCTCAACCTCCTCCAGGGCACCCCAGTTTAGTGTGGACACCAGGCCCTAATGCCAGTGCAGGCTGCTCTCTCATCACAGTCCCATTAGTCACTGTGATGGCCCTCAGCAGAGCAGCTGGGTTGGGAAGGGGGACAGCAGAGAAACATCATCTAAGGCAGCTCTGGGCCATGCCTGCAGGGCCCCAGCCTTCCTGTCAAGCAACACCACTGCCGTCTCCTAGATCCTGCCTCCAGGACAAAGACAAACCTGGGCTTATGCTTCACCCTTTAATCCTCACACCGGGTCCCCGGGACCATCAGCTCACACTTCCTCCAGATGTGCACACCACTGGGTAATGTCTACCGCCTTCCCATCTCAGACCCCAGGTTCACTCTCTCAGCTCTGCCACCTCCCTGCTCCACAGCACAGGACCTCTCTGCACTCACCCATGAACTTGGCACATGGCATCCAGAGAGAGCTTGAGAGGTTCCACAAGGATCTGGCACAACTCCAGTTTCCTGTTGGACCCCACAGCCTGGGGAAAGCAGGGCATGCGGCTCTGAAGTCCTCCCTGCCCGTCTCCGATTTTTGACTCAATACTAACCACCCACATCCTCAGGGAACCTCAGGTGCGAGTCACCCCCGTCCTCTCTGCCCTGCACTTGCTGTGTCCTCAGAAGCCACAACACTCCTCTCTCCCCTCCACCTTCCTCTTGGTCCTCCACGCGGGACTGAGCTGCAAGACGGGACAGGCGCCCGCACCCGGGCTGTCCTGTTAGGTGTGAGGAGGCGGTGAGGACCCGCAGGGACACGCACTCACCTCAGGCCTGCAACTCAGCTCGGGCGCCGCCATTGGACTCTGTGGGCAGAGCGGGGCCGGAGCCCCCGGAGAAGAGGCCGCTGCGGGAATGGCGGTCCCTGGCCCGGCCCTGGTCCGGCACTGGTCCGGCCCTGGTCCGGCCCTGTTAGCGACTGGGAGCTTCAATCCCACATGTGAGCTGTGCGCACCCCTGCAGGCTCCCACCACGGGCTGTGAGGCAGGGAGCACCACTCTCCAGCCTTCTCCACGGGACTGTGCGACCAGGAACTCCTGACCGCCTGAGAATAAAACTGAGAGAGGACAAAACCCCGCCAGGAGGCCTGCCAGTCCCGCCCTACACAAGTGGCCAAGCGGAAACGCCTTTCCTGAGCCTCCATTGGCGCATCCCGTTGTCATTCCGCGCCCGGCCTTCTGGGTAATGTAGTTCTTACGCTCCAAGTCCAGGATCCTGTATTTCCACAGCTCAATCCAGGACAGGATTGGGGGGCATATAGCACAGTACACACCAAGTATACTCAGTGTCCTCCAGCACCTTCAGCAGATGTGATTTCTAGGGCAAGTTTGTTTCTGGGGCGCCTGTGAGGCTTCCTTTAGCTGCTGGTTTTGCATATCTTTCTTCAGGACCTGCTCTTTCAGAATAAGAGGCATTTTTCCTTCATTCAGGCCATTAGGCATTTGTCTCCTTCAGGCCTTATGTTGCTGGGGAACATTGCTCCTCTCTAACAAGAACTATGTTGCCTCCATTGAATCCACTAAGCAAAGTTAATGTCACAATACAGACACTAATACTTCACAGCATCTGCTTCTGATGCCATCAGCAGTGTCAGCTCTGCCTGGGCTGCAGTGAGGCTAAAGCAGGGGTAGACAAACTTTTTGACTCGAGGGCCACAAATGGGTTCTTAAACTGGACCGGAGGGCCGGAACAAAAGCATGGATGGAGTGTTTCTGTGAACTAATATAAATTCAAAGTAAACATCATTACATAAAGAGCAAGAGGCCCTGATTGGTTTGGTTCAGTGGATAGAGAATTGGCCTGCGGACTGAAGGGTCTCGGGTTCGATTCCGGTCAAGGCTCTAATTATTCATCTATTGCAAACAATAGAGAACATGTTGAGGACAGCAGAGACATGAATTACAGGCTGAATCTCTGAGGGAAGGCAGAAGAAAGTTAAAAAAAAATCTTTAGAGGATTTGCCAAACCAGTTTGGCTCAGTGGATGGAGCTTCGGCCTGCGGACTGAAGGGTCCCAGGTTCGATTCCGGTCAAGGGCATGTGCCTTGGTTGCGGGCACATCCCCAGTGGGGGGTGTGCTGGAGGCAGCTGATCGATGTTTCTCTCTCGTCGATGTTTCTAGCTCTCTATCCCTCTCCCTTCCCCTCTGTAAAAAATCAATAAAATATATTTTTAAAAAAAATCTTTAGAGGATTAAACACACACACACAGTCACCTGAGACTTGAGCATTTTTCTTCTGTTCTCTGAAAGCAACGAGAAAGCTCTAAAAAAAACACTTAAAAACACTTTATCAGAAAACACTGGTAAGCAGCATCTGAGCCTGCTGGAAAAATAGCTACACTAGGCTTCTTGAATGCACAGTTGCCAAAAACATGGAATTTGTAAATAAAACAAATATGCAATATTCAGGAAGCACAATTAAGCAAATGCAAAAAAATACCTTATTATGAACTAGAAAAAGTACCCAAAAGACTCATTAGCCAAATACCATGGTTAAAAATAGGATAAGGGCCCTGACCGGTTTGGCTCAGTGGATAGAGCATCGGCCTGCAGACTGAAGGGTCCCGGGTTCGATTCCTGTCAAGGGCATGTACCTTGGCTGCGGGCACATCCCCAGTAGGGGGTGTGCAGGAGGCAGCTGATCGATGTTTCTCTCTCATCAATGCTTCTAACTCTCTATCCCTCTCCCTTCCTCTCTGTAAAAAATCAATAAAATATGTTTAAAAAAATAGGATAAGGATGTAGAGCCTACTTTCAAAACAAATACATACAAATCAAGAACAGCAATAAAGCATATGTTTTGGTCAGTATTCAAGTGGAATCCATTTGGCTCCTCGCCACACAACCAATCACAAACCCTTCCCTATGAGTTCAGTACAGCAGGTGTTGTGAATAAAGGGGCAGAAGGGAGCAGAGCAATCAAACCAACCCTGCCAACCACAGCAACTACCCAGAAAACTGGAAAAATCATGCAATGTATAGAGTCCACAAGTGAGGACAGAGCACCCCCTGGAGGTGAGGGGGCATAGGAAATGCAAAGCCAAGTCCCAGAAACCAGCCAGAGTGAGGTTCTTACCCAGAGAGGATATAAGTTCAAAGTTCTCTAGCATCACATTCAGGTGCAGACATCTCTGATCTTTATCAAGGAGGCTCCATTCCTCCCTGGAGAAGTACAGGGCAATGTCCTCAATGGTCACGCCAACCTGTCAGAATTGAGACACTTGCCATCCTTCTCTTTACACACCTTCCCCAGCCTCACCCTCCTCCAGGGCTCCCCAGTTTAGTGTGGACACCAGGCCCTAATGCCAGGGCTGGCTGCTCTCTCATCACAGTCCCATTAGTCACTGTGATTGCCCTCAGCGCAATAGATGGTTTGGGAAGGGGGACAACAGAGAAACACCATCTAGTTTGGCTCAGTGGATAGGGTGTTGTCCTGTGGACTGAAGGATCCAGGTTTCCAGTCTAATCAAGCCCACAGGCCAGTTGTGGACTCAATCCCCAGTAGGGGGCGTGCAGGAGACAGCCGATGGTTGATTCTCTCTCATTACTGATGTTTCTATCTCTTTGCCTCTCCTGTCCTCTGAAATCTATAATATATATTAGAGGCCAGTTGCACGAAGATTCATGCAATAGGCCTTCTTTCCCCTGGCTGCCAGCACCAGTTTTCCTCTGGCACCCGGGACCCAGACCTTCACTCTGGCCACCGCCTTCCATCTTCGCTGTGGAGTCTTCAGTCTCTGGCCAGAGCTGCTCCTGTAGCTCCTTCTGCCCCCCAAACACCCCTCATAGCTTGATCGCTGCATCACCTGCAGACCTCACCGATGGGCTCCTGGATCCTAGGGGGCCGCCTTGCCTGTGGCCCGGCTTTCTGGCGGCTCCTGGGGTTGCACACGGGGGCCCGGATGGCGGCTCCCGGTGGCCCGCCCTGCCTGCAGTATGCAAATTAGCCACCAGCTTTGTTGGCGGTTAATTTGCATATCATGCTGATCAGCCCCTGGCGATGGTAGCAAAGGTACGGTTAATTACCATGTCTGTCTATTATTAGATAGGATTTTTTTTTAAAGTGCCAACACCTGGTCTCCGGGACCATCAGCTCACACATCTCCCAAATGTGTACACCACTGTTTAATGTCCACCTCCTTCCTGTCTTCATACCCCAGGTTCACTGCCTAAGCTCTGCCAACTTCCTGCTCCACACCACAGGATCTCTCTGGACTCACCTGTGAACTTGGCATATGGCATATCTGACACTTGTTTGATGAGTAAACTTGGAGAACCTACTTCTTTTCCCTAATTGTGGATCTTCTCAACAATTTGATATTAGTTTCAACATCCCAGGTTGTTGTGACAATTAAAGAGAAAATGCATACCCTGGCTGGCTGGTAGGAATCAGTGGTTGAGCATCTACCTATGAACCCAGAAGTCATGATTAGGTTCCTGGTCAGGCACATGCCCAGGTTTTGGGCTTGGTCCCAAGTAGTGTGTGGGTGGAAGGCAGCCAATCAGTGATTGTCAGTATTGATATTTCTATTTCTCTTTGTCTCTCCCTTCCTCTCTGAAATCAATATACATTTAAAAATGTAAAACAGCCCTGACTGGTTTGGCTCAGTGGATAGTGTCGGCCTGTGGACTGAAGGGTCTCGGGTTCGATTCCGGACGGGGGCATGTGCCTTGGTTGCAGGCACATCCCCAGTGGGGGGTGTGCAGGAGGCAGCTGATCGATGTTTCTCTCTCATCAATGTTTCCAACTCTCTATCCCTCTCCCTTCCTCTCTGTAAAAAATCAATAAAATATATTTTAAAAATGTAAAATATATAAACACATTTTCCTAATAGAAAAAAATTTACTTCATAAAGCAAAAAAGGAACAAAATGAGTGAAATAAATTCCAACATCCATCTTTGTTATTTCAATATCTTTTCCTTAAAGAAAAGTGCCAACAGTCATAGCACATTAGGCCGAAAATATGATCAGATGTTTTAACAAAGATACTGACACAGCAAATGCATATCTGAGATAAGGTTCACTATAAATTCCTAGAAAAAAATACAATCAAACACCAGTGAGGTAGCACGACAAAGTTACCCCCCCCAAAAAGAAGTTAGCCAAAAAAAAGTTTAAATAAAGAATGATTGATTGAACTAAATATTCTCTAGGATGCAGAGAATATGAAACTCTCACTCACTTCTGCAATAATGCATAAATGTACAATCAATTTATATTTAATATTTATCTACACTAATAAGAGATTATGCAAATTGTTGTCACTCTGCTATGCCCACCAGCCAATCAGAGTGACTATACAAATTAACACAACAAAGATGGTGGTTAATTTGCATATGCAGACGCGAGCAAAGACTGAGGCTGAAGAGGCTTCACTTCTCCGCTGCAGCCGGAGCAAAGGCCTGGGTCCCAGGTGCCGGAAGAAAACCGGTGCCGGCAGCCAGGGGAAGGAAGGCCTATTGCACGAATCTCTTCATGCAATGGGCCTCTAGTTTTTAAATAATAGTTTACTGATTTTTAGAGAAAGAATTAGAGAGTGGGAGAGAAACATCGACATGAGAGTGCAACCTCGGCCAGCAGCCTTGTTCACACCCTGGTCTGGGGATCCAGCCCACAACTAGGCCCTTTTACCCACTGGAAATCCAAGGCACAATACTGGGTTGCAATCCAGCCTCTTATATCTGACACTTGTTTTGTTAGGAAGCAAGTCTGTATACGTGCAAGCACCTGAGTGTTTACTAGAACCTGTAGGCTTAGTCTTACACATCCTTTCTTAAAGGACACTGCAGAGACATGTGTCTTCTCAAGGATGCTTACCCTACTGATAGTATCTAATAGTTAATTTTAGTGCAAGCTGTTGTTACAATAAAAGCCCAAGGAGGTGTGCTAATGGGGCTGTTTGGTTCCAATAGCCAGTGTGTCCCTTAGCCCTCTCTTTCACAGAAACATGTGTCAAAGTAATCATTCACCCATCACTCAGGGTCTGCTGGTCACCCCCAACAGGTGGTGCCCCGTGTGAGGACCCAGGAACGCAAGAATATGCAGTGGACAAAGTAAGAGTAAGAAAATCAAAGTAACTGCGTACTAAGTCATTGGAGCCCACTGGGGATTTCCAAGTTGGAGGGGATTATTTCTCAGCTAAGAAATTTACTATCTCTGTTATGCTTCTTAAGAATGTAAGTATATTTTCCACTGGAAAGATAAGCCTATTTTTGAAAGTAAGAAAAAAAAAGTTTTTCCTATATTTGCCTAGCAATCAAAAGTTTTATATATATTATTGAAATACTTATGTTAATCAGGAACTTGATTACTTTAAATGAATACATTACTTAACGCTGTTTAATAATAATGATATAGAATATTTTATTTTTATTTATTTTTTTAAGTATATTTTATTGATTTTTTTACAGAGAGGAAGGGAGAGGGATAGAGAGTTAGAAACATCGATGAGAAAGAAACATCAATCAGCTGCCTCCTGCACACCCCCTACTGGGGATGCGCCCACAACCAAGGTACATGCCCTTGACCGGAATCGAACCTGGGACCTTTCAGTCCACAGGCCGACGCTCTATCCACTGAGCCAAACCGGTCAGGGCTGATATAGAATATTTTAGCCTAATGTATTTGACTACCTTTCCAGGGTTTAAATTTTAAGAAAATGTTCCTTGAGCTACAACTGGCTTTGGTCATTCCAATGGGCCCTGGAATGCCTCAAGGATTTGCTTTCTCTCCTTATGAAGGAAAATTTTATACTTAAGGTATATGGGAAGTTCTGTCCAATAAGGAAATAATAACTATATTCTATTTATATATGCATATTATAGATTCTAATATGCTTTCATTAGAACTAATTGTTATTAGTTATAATATTCTGGAATATTGTGTTTTACAGAAGGGAAAAAGTTCCATGTCATTTGCATTATAATCAACTCAATAACCCTATTATTTTAAATTTCTTGTTATTTAGAGACAGTTACAGTTTTCTTTTTTTTTAAATATATTTTATTGATTTTTTATAGAGAGGGAGAGAGATAGAGAGTTGGAAACATCAGATGAGAGAGAAACATCCATCAGCTGCCTCCTGCACACCCCCTACTAGGGATGTGCCTGCAACCAAGGTACATGCCCTTGACCAGAATCGAACCTGGGACCCTTAAGTCTGCAGGCCAATGCTCTATCCACTGAACCAAACTGGGTAGGGCAATAGTCACTGTTTTCTTATGATGCATTTGGAAAATGTTACAACTTCTGAGAGATCCATAAAAAGAACTCTGATTTATTTTAAGCTACATATCTCTGAGAATAAACATTCAGCTCATCCCCTTGAATTGGATGAAAATTATTACAACTCTATAGAGTAACAGGATTTATAGAAATACGAGCAAGAAATATCAGCAGAAACAGAATTTAATTATAGGACTAAATGAACTAAAAATAATTATAGTTTTGGTAATTTGGTCCAATAAGAATCTGATTTGTTCATAACAGGACATAAGTAAGTGTGCAATTATAGTTTTATTAACCAAACCTTTACTGGAATGTCATGTCTGAAAGAGAGACATGCCAGGACTCTGGATGTCATCAGAAAGATCTAAGGCAGCGGTTCTCAACCTGTGAGTCACAACCCCTTTGGGAGTCGAATGACCCTTTCACAGGGGTCGCCTAAGACCATCCTGCATATCAGATATGTACATTATGGTTCATATCAGTAGCAAAACCACAGTTATGAAGTAGCAATGAAAATAATTTTATGGTTGGGTCACATGAGGAACTGTATTTAAAGGGCCAGAAGGTTGACCAAGCTGGCGGCATAGGTAAACACCTGAAAATGCTGCCTCACACAACCACTTCAAAAATAAAACTAACAGACAAAACAGACATCATCCAGAACCACAGGAAGGATGGCTGAGTGGAAATTCTACAACTAGAAGGAAAGAGAAAAGCACACTGAGACTCAGAGGAGGTGCGGAAGTAAAGTGCAGAGGTGCGGAGGCTCAAGCACCTGCGGAAAGGGGCTGGCAAAGGAGGAGGACAGTGTCTTTGCAACAGGAAGGGAGGCACAAGCTCCCGATGGCCCTGACTCCAGTTCTGGGCGAGTCTCTGGGGACCCAGACTCTTACAAGGAGAAATTGGACTGTCTGGCAGTGGGCAGAACTCGAGGGCGGCTTTCTCTCAGAGGTGCTTGTAGCGATGACCAGGACACTGAGACTCAGGACCTATTAGGGCAGGCCTGAGAATCAGCCATAGCTGTTTGCTCCACCCTGTTGATTCCCTGAGATCCCGCCCCACCCAAGCTATGCGTAAAGGCTTTTGCATGTGAATGGGCTGGCCTTTTGAGATCTAAAATTACCTCACAAACTGCAACTGGGTAAGAAAGACCCAGAACATCCAAAAGAAGGCCCAAGGCCCCTCAGCAGCTTGCATTGCTTCACTGCTGGGCCTCATCTGGGCAACTCCAAACCCCAAACAAAGAAGAAGAATCTGCAGATCTCTCTGTAGCTCCTGCTGGGTAGCCTCAGGCAGAGGCTAAATTAGCACCTCCTTAGAGATCCAAGAGCCAGTGTACCCAGTAGTCAGATTGGGACCATCCAGATTACAACTCTTCAGATCTATAAGGAACACACTCAGTGGGCAGACTCAGTGAACACCAAAGCCCCACTGAAGCAAGTCTTGCCCCAGAAGGGTGTCTTCAGCACAGAAGTTCTCCCACTGTAGACACAGCTGAATCTCACAGACAATTGGCCTGGAGGTCAATTACTCCCAGTGATACCTACAACAAGAATGAGACTGTGCACACAGCCCACAAAGGGGTGCACCAAGAGTGTCCACCCCAGGTAATTGGGAAGGCTGAGCCACTGGGCCCTATAGGACACCTAGCACACAAAGCCACTCTATCAACACAGGAATGCATAAAAAATGCAGAGACAAAGAAACAGATCACAAATTACAGAAATGGAGGGAAGCAAACTACTGGATATAGAGTTAAAAACCACGGTTATAAGGTTTTTCAAGAATTTTCTAGAAACCGCCGATAAATTTAGTGAGACCCTTGAGGATATGAAAAAGGACCAGCTAGAAATTAAGCATACACTGACTGAAATAAAGAATAATATACAGAGATCCAACAGCAGACAAGAGGATCCCAAGAATCAAGTCAAATATTTGAAATACGAAGAGGTAAAAAACACCCAACCAGAAAAGCAAAAATAAAAAAGAATCCAAAAATATCAAGATAGTGTAAGGAGCCTCTGGGATAACTTCAAGCGTTCCAATATCCGAATTATAGGGGTGCCAGAAGAAGAGAAAGAGCAAGATATTGAAAACCTATTTGAAGAAATAATGACAGAAAACTTCCCCTGCCTGGTGAAAGGAATAGATTTACAAGTCCAGAAAGCACAGAGAACCCCAAACAAAAGGAATCCAAAGAGGACCACACCAAGACACATCATAATTAAAATGCCAAGGGCAAAAGATAAAATCTTAAAAGCAGCAAGAGAAAAAAAGTCAGTTACCTACAAGGGAGTACCCATAAGACTGTCAGCTGATTTCTCAACAGAAACTATGCAGGCCAGAAAGGAGTGGCAAGAAATATTCAAAGTGATGAATGCCAAGAACCTACAACCAAGATTACTTTATCCAGCAAAGCTATCATTCAGAATTGAAGGTCACATAAAGAGTTTCACTGATAAGAAAAAGCTAAAGGAGTTCATGACCACCAAACCAATATTATATGAAATGCTGAAAGGTATCCTTTAAGAGGGAGAAGAAAAAGGTAAAGATACAAATTATGAACAACAAATACACATCTATCAAAAAGTGAATCTAAAAATCAAGTGAATAAAATATCTGATGAACAGAGTAAAGTGGTAAATATAATAGAATCAGGGGCATAGTAAAGGAGTGCACTGACAATTCCAGGGGGGGGGGGAATGGGTGTGGGAAGAGACTGGACAAAATCCTACACCTATAGATGAGGACAGTGGGGGGGGGGTGGATAAGAGCAGAGGGTGGGGTGGGGACTGAGTGGAGGTGAACTATGGGGGGGAAAAAGAAGAACAACTGTAAGAATCTGAACAATAAATTTTTTTTTTTTTTTAAAAAGGGCCAGAAGTTTGAGAACTACTGATAAGGAATGAAGACAGACTTTGAATCTGATAAGCCCCTTGGATAAATAGCCTGGTACGTTGCTTGGTCATGTGGTTCATAATGGTCTTTCCAGGGAAGGAACGAAGGTTACTTTACTGAGAGATGGCATGAAAGAACGTCAAGACACCTGTGGGAACCTCAATTTGAGGAATGCACCACAATTGTGCAGGTATCAGACATAGCCTGATGGCAACTGTTACCTTGGCTTCTTTACTGTGGCAGTAAACTTTATCATGAGATTCCGGCAACGTGTATATATATTTAAAATAGCCTATATGATCAGCTGTTATTCTTGTGTTCATATAAACAATCAGACCAATTTTTTTTTATTAAATCTTTATTGTTCAGATTACATTTGTTCCTCTTTCCCCCCCCCATAACTCCCCTCCTTCCAGTTCCCGCCCCACCCTCCGCCCTCACTCCCCACCCACTGTCCTCATCCATAGGTGCACAATTTTTGTCCAGTCTCTTCCATTGATGACTTAGGTACGAAATAAACTCATCATTAGCATCTAGAGAAAGTGTGTCCCTGAAAATGGCAGGCCCTCTGCAACATTATGTTTACTGGGGCCAACAGTAATGAGTCCTATGTGGCAACACAAGACAGGGAAACAAATAAGAACCAAGGGCTCAGGCATTCCTCATTTTTGTTGACAAATCAGACAACAGACATAGCTTCCCTGCCACAGGAGGATGGTGATTGATGCCATCTGTAGGGACCTTATAGGTGGTTCAGGTGAAATACCTTCAGCAATAGAAATGTGCAGTGACATAGATCTGGCAGGACATCTCTGTATGTTAGAACGTGCAACATAATTACATAGTGTTCCAACATAAAAACACACACATAGAACAGCAAAAACACTTATGGGAACTTTACAAAACATAGGTGATTAAATGTATAGGATATAATTCAGAAAAATGAGGATTAACAAATTTTCTTGTACTATTGTTAACTTCTAAGAAACTACATTTCCTACACATCTAAGAAATTTCTCACATTTGTACTCTAGTGGAGAGCAAATTTAGAAATTTGGCTGAGACATATCTCATATTAATTGCACTCATAAGGGCTTTCTCCATTGTGAACTCTCTGATGATATTGGAGACCACTGATACCTTTAAAACATTTCCCACATTCACTGCATTTATAAGGCTTTTCTCCCGTATGAACTCTCTGATGATAACGAAGTTTATTGCTCCGTGCAAAAGATTTTCCACATTCACTGCATTTATAAGGCTTTTCTCCAGTGTGAATACGCTGATGACAATGAAGGTCTCTAGTATTGGTAAAAGATTTTCCACATTCACTGCATTGATAAGGCTTTTCTCCAGAGTGAACTCTCTGATGATATTGGAGACTACTGCTATATGTAAAAGATTTTCCACATTCACTGCATTGATAAGGCTTTTCTCCAGAGTGAACTCTCTGATGATTTTGGAGACTACTGCTATATGTAAAAGATTTTCCACATTCACTACATTGATAAGGCTTTTCTTCAGTGTGAACTCTCTGATGAGTACGAAGATGGGTGTTTGTGGTAAAAGATTTTCTACATTCACTGCATTTATAAGGCCTCTTTCCAGTGTGCACTCTCTGATGACAACAAAGCTTAGTCCTAGTGGGGTAAGCTTTCCCACATTCACTGCATTTATAAGGCTTTTCTCCTGTATGAACTCTCTGATGATAATGAAGGGCATCGCTCCGTGCAAAAGATTTTCCACATTCACTGCATTTATAAGGCTTTTCTCCTGTATGAACTCTCTGATGATAACGAAGGGAATCACTCCGTGCAAAAGATTTCCCACATTCACTGCATTTATAAGGCTTTTCTCCTGTGTGAACTCTCTGATGAAAATGAAGGGAATTGCTCTGGGTAAAAGATTTTCCACATTCACTGCATTTATAAGGCTTTTCTCCTGTATGAACTCTCTGATGACAACGAAGGTTAGTTTTCAGGGTAAAAGATTTCCCACATTCATTGCATTTATAAGGCTTTTCTCCTATATGAACTCTCTGATGCTCACTAAGGGCATTGCTTCGTGCAAAAGATTTTCCACATTCACTGCATTTATAAGGCTTTTCTCCAGTGTGAACTCTCTGATGATAACGAAGGGCATTGCTTCGTGCAAAAGATTTTCCACATTCCATGCATTTATAAGGCTTTTCTCCTGTATGAACCCTCTGATGACAACGAAGGCCATTGCTCCGTGCAAAAGTTTTCCCACAGTCACTGCATTCATAAGGCTTTTCTCCAGTGTGACCTCTCTGCTGATAATGAAAGCTAGAAAACTTGGTAAAAAATTTTCCACATTCAGAGGACCCAAAACTCCCACTTCCAAGTTGGACACCTTTTTCCTGAATACCTGTGTGGGTACAACTAATGTCTCTCTTACCTTCTTTTCTACTGTAATATTTTTTTCTCCCTTGAAACGTCATCCCACACGTGGAAATTGCAGTTGGACTGTCCTTGGTTTGAAGAGCCTTTAGGTGCAGATGTCCTGACCCCATACGGACACCCTGCCCAACCTCCCCGCATTTGAAATGATTCTGGGACACATTGAAATTACAGCTGTTTGCAAGTGAGATCCTCTCCACACCTCTAGTGAAAGTCTTCTCTTTCACATGCTGCTGGTGAAATTTTACACGGAAATAGAATTGTTTTGCACACGCCCCACACCTCAACAGTATCTGTCCGTGTTGTGTTCCCTGACCCTCCATCATGTGGAAAATGTTTCCCAGGACTAGCCCACAACCCTCACAGGGGTGGCTCTTCTGGGAAGACAAGGCTAACTTGGGATTCCTTGCCTGTGACAATCTTACTGAAACCTTCTGTTCAGTCGTTGCCTCCATAATTCCTGCTCCACAGCAGCAACCTGTTCAAAAGGAAACATAGGTAAAGGACATGTTGACCTGATAAAAACATAATATATTCACCACAATTGTTTATGTCACAACTGGACATGATTCCATACAATGATTTTCAAGATAAGTAAGTTAACTACTCAGGAAATGGCTGTTATATATAACATGGCCCAAAAGGTCACTGGATGATCAAAATCTCAGCAAGGGAGAACAGAAGCCTAGGCTGGCACAAAAAGAAGAGAGGCTGTGTCTGCTCGTTACTACTCCACAAATGGCTTCCTTTAGGACCTTTCATGCTGGCGATATGAATCTGTGTAAAATAATTTCAATGTGCTCAAACCCATAAAATATCAATCATAGGAAAGTATGTGATGTTCAGGGTCAATATAATACGTGTGTACTCTAAAGCTCTGCAGGCATGCAACAACACTGGAGTGCAGTAAAGCCGAGATGTGTGATAGAGGTAGAGGTGCAAAGTTTAGAGAGGTTCAGGTTATCCATGGGCTGGGAATCC